GGAAAGCAGCGTTTTATTTTTGCGTGAAAAAGCTCTGATTCTTGACTCTCTTCCCCCAGCAATGCATGGCTGTTTAGAGGCAGTGAAGGTGCTTCTTGAGAGGTAAGAACAAAACAGCAAATGGAGGAAAGTGTTCCCTGATCATGTCAGAATTGATACCGATGCTCCGTAAAGAGCTCAGATTGTTCAGAGGGAACCTAAGGTGCCACCAGGGAAATGAACAACGAACACAGCAGATAAAGAAGGGAAAACAAAAGTAGGTAACAAACATGGGGAAGAATCATTCTTTTACATATTCATTCAACAAATATCCATATACTCATTCAGCACTCACTCTACCAGGCAGAGGGGCTACTACAGAAATCAGGTAACGTGGTTTCCCCATCACGGAACTCGGGTGGGCAGGGAAGACAGACTCTGCCCAAGGCGTGTGAGTCAGAGACACGTCCCAAGGGATTTCGGGGTCCCTCCAGCAGCACAGGACTTGGCCTGGGAGTGAGGAGTCTCGGCCCCAGGGACACTTAAGCTACCACCTGAAGGAGGCTGGAGGCGAGAGGTGGTGGGGAGGCATTCCAGGCAAAGGTAACAGTCCCCGTAAGTGCTCAGAGCCAGGGAAGACGCAGTGCAGAGAAGAAACCGAGAGAAGATCTGTGTGCGCTGTGTCCTAAAGGGTGACGGGGAGGCCAGAGAGGAAGGCCTGATTCAGACAAGGTGGGACACTGGACACCAGGTGAAGGAGTTCAGATCTGGTTCTAAGCATCTAAGACACCATTGAATAAGAGGTTTGCATTTTTCAAAGTCCCTCTGGTTGCAAAGCAGAGAACGGACTGGAGGGGGGCTGTTGCACTTAAACAGGACAGTCATGGGGGCTGGACCAAGATGCTGACTGTCCGGGTGAAGAGAAGGATCTGGAGGTACTTAAAGAGAATCACCAGATCTCGGTGAGTAACTCAACGAAGGAAGCTGGGGAGAAGGAGAGGTTAAGGAGGACGTCCCGGTTTCTCCCATGATGCTGCTGCTGCCGCCGCCAGATAAAATAAACGACACCAGAGGAGGTGCGGGTTTAGGGGAGAAGATGGCCACTTCTGGACACGTTGAGTTGCCTGTAGCCGTGAGACAGGCAAGTGGAGATGCCCAGCAGGCAGTTAGACACAGATCTGAAGCCCAAAGGTGGGCCCCGTCAACGTAGAAATGGTGATCAGATCCGTAGGAGTGGAAGAAGCCACCTGGGGAGATGCCGAGAGTAAGGAGAGAAGGCCTGATGGAGCGCCCTGAAAGCATCGCTCGTGCAGGACCCGCCTCCTGCGCATTGGACATGCTGGTTGTCTGCAGATTCATAAACTCCTTCGTTCACTCAGCAAACGTGCTTCAGGCACCTCCTGTGTGTCAGGTGCTGAGTGATTAGCAGTAAGCACAGTCCTTTTTCCGACGGCCCGTAGGCTGGTGTGGAAGCCGGGGACAGACAATTGCAGAAAGAACATAAAGTTACAAATTGTGATCATACTGCAAAAGACAAGTACACAGCACTGTGCGCCCTGCAGATCTGGGCCCCTGTGAGGTCACGTTGAAGCTGCAGTTTGAAGGATGAGCTGGAGTTCCAAATGCACGATGGAGACGCAACGTTCCAACAGAGGGAACCGGCAGGTGCATAGGCAGCAGGGAGCTGGGCGGCCGGAAGAGCAGAAGAGGGCACAGGCATGACTGCGAGGAACGGAAGAGGGGAGGGCACATAGGAGGTAGGACCGTGAGGAAGGGAGGGCGGGGAGGATGTAGGACCAGGAAGGGAGGAACGGGAGAAGGGGAGACAGGCGGGACTGGAAGCAGGTAGGACCATGAAGAGGGGAGGAACGGAAGAGGGCAGGGCAGGTGGACCGTGGGACCGAGAAGAGAGGAGGGGCCGGGGGAGCCCAGAGGAGAAAGTAGGTACCACGTCATCCTAACCATGGAAGGGCATGTTAAGTTTTCGGGTTTTGTCCTGTATGGTCGGGAGGTGGTAAAGGTGTTAAGATAGGAGTGGCCGCAGCCAGATTACCTGGTGGAAAGGTTGCTCTGGTATCGGTGAGAGTGGAGTGGCCCCAGGCAGGAACCAGAGTGAGAAACATGGTTACGAGGCTGTTGCCTGTTGGCTTGGTCTTAAGGGGTGAAGGTGATCTCGGAGAGAAGGATACAGAGTTTTGTTTTGGTTTTGATACATTTTGGTTGTAGAATTGAGAGATTTGGGTAATAGGTTGGCTGTGAGGGACGAGGGCTAACTTCTGCATGAGAAGCTGGAGAGAGGAGGGTCCTTTATAACTGGGATGTTGGAGGCGGGCAGACTTGCTGGGGAAAACTAGCAGACCCTTGGGGAGCTCGGCTCAGACACTGGGGTCGCAGAGGCGCCTTCAGCTGTAAGGCTGGACGTCTGCCGCAGAGGGTCAGAGTCAGCTGTCCTTTGGGTTTGAAGTGGTGACTTCTCTCAGCTGTGACTTTGGGTTTGGGCTCCAGGTGCCAGTATGAACCCGACGGCAGAGACAAGTGTGGCCTCACGCCCTTTATGGACGCGATTCAGTGTGGTCACATCAACGTGGCCAGGCTGCTGCTCCAAAAACACAAGGTAGAGAAATGGTTTGGTTTTATTGCTTTGGCGGTTCCTACAAGTTTTAGGCCACAGGATAAACAGAAAGCAGAGTTATTCAGATCATGGATTCAAATATGGACTCTACCGTGTTCCCCTGGGGAAGCCTCTTTATCTCTTTAAGTGCCAGTGTTTCCATTTGTACAACAGAAGTTTAACTTCTTCAGAGGGTTACTCTAAGGATTAAATAACAAAGTGCATAAGGCAGTTAGCAAAATACGTATTCAGTAATCAGTAGATGTGCTGTACTTTGTCACGTTGGCCTGCAGCACTGCATCTTGACCATGTTTTTGGTCAGAGCGTCCTTTGAGAATCTGACAACAGCTACATGTCATCTGCCCAAAAAAATGTCTGCAGACAACAGAGTTTTGCCAAAATGTCAGAAGGTCTGTGGCCCCAGGTGTCTCTGACCCTTCCTTCTGTTCGGATCTCTCCCAATCTACTAGGCCTGCGTTTCCGCCGAGGATTCCCTGGGGGCCCAGGCTGTCCACCGGGCCGCTGTCACAGGGCAGAACGATGCCATCCGATTCCTGGTCTCTGAGCTCGGCGTCGATGTGGACGTGAGAGCAGCCTCCACCCACCTCACAGCGCTTCACCTCGCAGCCAAGGTTTGTTCCTCCTTGGAGCGCTGCTCCCTCCCCCAGGGGCCAGCCCGGCCCCCACCCCCCAGGGCTGGGCAGGGTGGTTGGCTCCACCCCTGTGGAAGGAGATGTGACGTGCTCTTGACATGATCATGCTTCTGAAGCCCTGTGTCCCTTTAAATAGAAACCTGCCTCTGTTTGTTTCTGGGTAAAACTGAGAAAAGCCCTTTACTCCATGTGACGCCCATGCGCTCTGTTGCCTCTCGCTCTTTTTGGTTTTCAGAAATAATGTCATTTGAAGCCATAAAAAATCTACTGTACGAAATTCCTAGCTCTCTGCTCTTTTACTGGATTTCAGAGGTTCAGTTTTCTTTAAGGCAAGGGGTTTGCAGGCACTGGGCTCTCCGGCGTATAAAATATTGAAGACGCGCAGAAAGTTTTTGCTGGAAAAGTGGCTCCTTACGCCCTCCTGTTTCAAATGCTGGGGTCTTCTGCGTTTCATCTTTAATACTGTTGGCCACCCACCTTTACTCGTTCTTCGAGCAACAGGAATACATGTTTTTCTGGTGAACCACACCCTGCCTGTGTTCCCGTGAGAGCGTGACTAGGGAGTCACAGGTGGACGAAGAGTGTGGTCTGGGGCCAAAGCTAAAAGCGAGTAGGTCCCCCGTGGCAGGTGGAACCTGCGGTCCTGGGTTCAGTCTCACTGACTGGCTAACTGGCTTGGCAAGTGTGTCAGTGGCTTCACAGACAACAGTGCTGGGTGGGCTGAGAATCCCACCCGGGGAGGCTACGGTCTTCTCTAGTTTCTCTCTCCCCTGAAGATTTAGCAAAGAATGTGCATGCTTGGGAGATCTTGGAACTGTGTGTTCTGCATAAATCATAAGATTTACACTCCTTACATGAATATGGAAACCCAACCATCTTAGCCAATCACTTGGCCAAAAAGCTGATCATCTACACTCTAATAACTGAACGTCCCCTAGATCTGTGTGTAGTGATTTATCCTGGATTTCAGGAGTAATAGGACAAGCCTTCCTTTGGACGTGAGAATTCAGTCTCAGCAGTTGCGGGTTTCAGAAGAACCTAACACGCATTAGAGTTTGTGTTTAAGCCCTGCTGTTGTCCTCAGACACCGGTGACAGGTTTGTTTCAACACTCAGGAGGGACACGTAAGCACAGTCCGGACGCTCTTGTCCTTGGGTGCCGACATCAGCTCTAAGGATGAAAGAGATCGATCAGGTATGGTCTCGTTTTACGTGCGCTTTGAAAATTGTTAGCAAGCTGAGCGTAAACAGTGACGCTGGTCTGAACGTTGTTCCTCTGCTAGCTCAGCGGCCTGTCCCCAGAGCACCTCCTCCTCCGCCTGCAGGGCTGCAGGGCTGAGGCTGTCACCCGGGTCCTCCTCCTCCGCTTACAGGGCTGCTGCTGTCTCCGTGGCCCGTGGCAACGGTGCTGCCTGTCTCCTTCCTGCCCCGGTTGCTACTGTTGTTGTTTTTATTATTTTGAGCCACACGACGTATGTGAGAGCAGAGCACCTTTGGTCTCAGCCCCTGATGGCTGCAGCTCTCCAGGTGCCACGTAGATTCCTCACCGGCCGTCTCTCCCTGGAATGTATTTTAAAACCTCATCCACTATAACTTTTTAGACTGAGGGCTCAGAGAGCTGGTTTCAGATCCGTAGGCTTGGACTCCAGAGTAAGCCCTGGTGTTTGCGCGCCGTCGTGCGGGGCTCACGGGGAACCAGGTGCTCACTGCAGGGCAGCAGAGGGAGGTCACATAATCCCACGCAAGAACGTGCTCCTAGAGTCAGGGGGGCCGGACCCGGGGTCGCTGGGCTCAGTGCGCAGCAGAAACCCGCAGCAGCAGTTTCCAACCAGGGCAGGAAGATCTGTCAGCAGTTTGTTGTTGTTGTTGCATCATTCTCACTCATGGAGCTATTTTTACATACAGAGAGCATTCACAAAGCTTTGAAGACGTCTCCCGTACCACTTACACTTAAGGTCTCCTGCTTCTCATTCACTTGCTGTGCTGCTTTAGACACGTCTCTTAAACCCTCTCCAGGTGGTTTTGTTCCTTTGGAAACCGTTTCCGACCAAGTCAGGTTAAAAGGAAAAAAGCTTTGATCCCGTACAGGCCAAGTGAGAGGGATGAACACGGAAATATAAAGTCTGGGCTAATTGAAAAAGTCAGTGTGTGTATCGGGGGCAGCCTGCTCCTGTGTCCGTGTGGCCGCGGGCAGCGCCCCAAGCTGTGTGACCCTGTCCCCCCAGCCCTGCACCTGGCCTGCGCCGGGCAGCACGCGGCTTGCGTCGAGTTCCTCCTGCGCGCTGGGCTCGGGGACTCTCCAGACAAGGCGGGCACCCTGGCCGAGCAGCTCGCACAGAGTGCAGACGTCCTGCAGTGCTTCGACCACAGCCGGGCAACAGGAGGGCGTTCCTAGAGGAAGACGGTAAGCCCACGGCCCCTCCTGGCCTGCTGCTTCGGGGCCGGGGAAATGGGTCCGCACCCCGCGTCCCTGCCCCCGCTCCCCCCGCTGCAGCTGAGCAGTCCCAGGAGAGGGGGCTTCCTGGCCACGCGACTGCACGCGGTGCCATCTCAAGCTCCCCCGAATCTCTCTCTCGCTTTCAGCCTTCAGGCGGAGTCAGGTGGCGTTGATGAGTCAGTGTCTGGGGTCCTTGGAGAAGCACGTCACGCACACGAACATGACAGCAAACATGCAGTCATACATGGGTGTGAGACGTTCATCACTGGCACTGCGGTGAGGCAGTGATAGCGACGAGGAGAGTGTCGCAAGCTGCTGTTGCCTGGAGCCGTGAGACGTAAGCGGCCTGTTGACTTGCTGCTTTCAGAGGCTTTTCATTGGCCCTGACAATGGTTTACCTTTTGATTTTGAAGCCATGAAGGAAGTGCTTACGTTTACACAGACATTTACAAGGAATAACGAAAACATTTCTTTATTCTGAACACTGCTAGTTAAGCTGAAATGTTTTAAACTTAAGGTTATTATTTTTTTGATAGACAAGTTCTGTATTGGCTCCCTTTGGATAATAAATGCATCTAAAAACATGTAAGATATTTTCAGAACTTTCCATGACCTCATTTGAAGAACGAAGAGGGTTTGTTCTTGAACCCACAGGTCACCGGGGACCGAGTTGCCAAATCAAG